GTGACTCTGAGCGGCTTACAATACAATAAAAATAAAATATAAAGCAATTTAAAATTATAACAACAATCTAACATTCCATAAGTTAAATAAAGGCCAAAAAACCCTCAAGATCTCATGCAGAGTGGGGCGGTACCTTCTCTTTCATTGCACCAATCACCCCCAACCTAGCGTAGCCCATTGGGGCCCAACCCAACTAGCAGAGCCAGGATTTAAGGTCCTTCCAGAAGACCAGAGGGGTGGGCGAATTGGTTTGTTAACTTTTTGCCCAGTTCGGAAAACCAATCCCACCTCTGGCTGGCCTCACCTGCCCGCCCGTCCCAGGAGCCCCCCTGCGCGCCCCGTTTTGGCTTCCAGGTTGGTGCAGGAGGCCTTCCAGGCCCAAAACCCCTGCTGTAAGTTGAGTTGGAAATGGGGATTTTGCATTAAGATTGCTCATAAGTAAGTAGGAACCAGTATAAGAGGAATGGGAAAATCTCTCTCTGCGGATCAGCGTTTTTCAGTCTTGGCCAGTTTAAGATGGGCAAACTTCATGCTGCCTGGGGAATTCTGGGAATTGAAGTCCATGCACCTAAAAGTTGCCAAAGTTGAGAAGCATGGGTCTACACTAGAGCTTAGGATTTTCCATTCCTGTTTTATTGAGAGTTTGGTGCAATTAAATAAATCAGTTGTGATTTCCTTAACAAATAAGTGATTAAAGCGATAGGAACCATTACTGGACTTTTTGTGAGAAACTGAAATTAAAAGTTGATCTGGGCTTTGATGATTAGATATGGGATTATGGAAATAATGTAGACAAATGTTACTCTTAAAGTAAGAGTTGGAAATTTTCTTTTACTTATACCTGCACCAAGGATAGTTGGAAGTCATTCTTTTTCAGTTTTCCTTCTTTTCCTCTTTCTTTCCTACACTTTCACTCTTTTTCTTTCCTGAGCCTTTTCTTTTTTTCAAATCTGTTTTTTTATTTGTTTATCCCTTAGCTTCGTATTTTTTGATGTATGAAGGATCAAATACTCGGCCATTATAATTCTACATTCCTTATTTACAGAAATTATATCAAAATTTAGAATGAAATCCACTGGGAGACGTCTCATATAACGCAGGCTCCGAGTCCCTCTAACCAAAAGGTGTTTATCAATAGAAAAGAATATTTATAGCTCAAGATTGAACTGTGGGGTCCTTGGTGCTCTCTGAGCTTGATGGTTTTCTTGCAGATGTTTCATTACCCAACTAGATAACATCATCAGTATTAGAAGGGAGTGGAGTTTGCTGTTATTTTCACATACTAGTGGCTTACCTTGTCAGTGTTGATCAGTTGCTTCACAAAAAGTGTTTTGATTGTTGCCAGGTCTCTACAGCCTCAGGCAGAGAAGGGCTATTCTGCACCCCTCCCTCAAAGGTTCTTTAAAATACAGAGTTTTCCAGCATTCCTTTAGGAACCTCCAACATGCAAACTGTGGTTACTCATCCTAAAATGAATCCTCTTCACCTGGAGCTTCAAAATTTGCTGTTTGCTGGGAAGATGTGTAGCTAAAAGTCAGTCTACATTTAGTGTACATCTGACTTTGGGGATATTTCTTCATAACCAAACGAAAGTGTATTTTCTGTGCAGTTCACACCCCTTGCTCGCTGGATCTGGATGTCACAAAGCAAAGGCCTCATTTTGTAATTAACCCCCGTGCCCCATTTTGACTGGCAGAGTGCTACAGGAGGCTGAGTGCTGTCACATCCCCTGGCCACGCCCACCCACCCACGCCCTCCCAGCCGGTCATTAGGGCAGAGAACCGGTTGTTAAATTATTTGAATCCCACCACTAGTGGGTACAGATCTCACCTCCAGCAAGAAGATATTTTAAAGCCTGGGGGCTGTGACAGAAAAGACTTTTCTCCTAGACCCCACCAGCCAAAATTCATTGGCCAACAGGTTTGCAGCGGGATAAGTGGGATGGGCTGATCCCATTGGAACAAAACGGTTCCTCGGATATCCTGGACTCACGTCTTAAAGCGCCCTGAAGGTATCACCAACACCTTGAACTGGATCTGGAAGCACAACAACTAGCGCATCTCACATAATGGTGTTATTACATGGGCCATCCTAGGGGCCTCCAGAACTGTTGTTGCATTCTGAACTAGCTGTAGCTTCTGAATACTCTTCAAGGGTAGCCCCATGTAGAGCGCATTGCACTAATCCAAACGAGAGACGCCCAGGGCATAAGTGACTGAGTGGATGGCCTTTGTATAATGCAGGGATCCCCAAACGTGGCAACTTTAAGACTCGTGGACTTCAACTCCCAGAATTCTGCAGCCATGGTTGAAGTCCACAAGCCTTAAAGTTGTCAAGTTTGGAGACCTCTGGTATAAAGGAGAGGAATCTCTTATTTGAGATAATCCTATGGTGGCCATGAACTCCTGAACCTGTCTGGAATCCATCCCAAGAGCAAACAGTGTACTCCAAAACCAAGGCTGGTCCACCATCAATTCCAGGAAATCAAGGAAGAAGGGCCTTGGTATTTAGCAAGGTAGGATGTTCACAAGGCAGTTTTCATCATACCTTCTTATTTATCTTTCTTTTAATCATTTCATGTCTACCTTTCAACCATAAATTCCAGATTTCATAGTACTCTGACTCTTTGTTTTTAAGTTCCATTGACAACCTGTCCATTTCTGCACATTCCAAGGTTTTCTTTATAATCATAAAGTTGGAGGGGGGGATATTTGGTGGTAGACTTTAGAAGAAATCCTCCTATACTACCACCTCTTACAATACTAGACAACACAGTATCAACAGTAGAGACCTTCAAATTTCTAGGTTCTACTATATCACATGACTTAAAATGGACACCCAACATCAAAAACGTCATTAAAAAAAACACAACAAAGAATGTTCTTTCTGCGCCAACTCAGAAAGCTCAAACTGCCCAAGGAGCTGCTGATACAGTTCTAAAGAGGAATTATTGAGTCTCTCATGTGCAACCCACATAACTGTCTCTATAACTGTCTGGTTTGGTTCTGCAACCCAACAGGACAGACACAGACTTCAGAGGATAATTAGGACTGCAGAAAAAACAATTACTACCCACCTGCCTTCAATTGAGGACCTGTATACTGCACGAGTCAAAAAGAGGGCTGTGAAAATATTTACAGACCCCTCACATCCTGGACATAAACTGTTTCAACTCCTTCCCTCAAAACGACACTATAGAGCACTGCACACTAGAACAACTAGACACAAGAACAGTTTTTTCCCAAACGCCATCACTCTGCTACACAAATAATCCCCTCAACACTGTTCAACTATTTACAAAGTGTACACTACTATTACTGTTAATCTTCTCACCACTCCTTATCACCCATCCCCTCCCACTTGACTGTTTCCTAGTATGATTTGATCGTTGATTGTACCCTATGATTATAAGTGTTGTACATTATGATTCTTGATTCTTAATGAATGTACCCTTCTTTATGTATACTGAGAGTATTTATACCAAGACAAATTCCTTGTGTGTCCAATCACACTTGGCCAATAAAGTATTCTATTCTATTCTATTCTATTCTATTCTATTCTATTCTATTCTATTCTATTCTATTCTATTCTATTCTATTCTATTCTATTCCATTCCATTCCATTCCATTCCATTCC